GATCGACAGAAACACGATCCCGAAGCCAATAGAAGAAGCCCAATAATTGTTGATGCCCATAAAAAACAAAAAAGAAAAGAAAATATTAATTTAATAAATCATTTTTAATTTTAATTTACTTTTTGAAAGAGTAAATGAAGATTGATATTTCAAAGAGATGAAGAATCAGATGCTGATAACCAACTGGTTTGATAAAAAGCAAGTATAGTGCTATGTTATGGTGACACCACACCAGAAATAAAGTACTACAAACAAAACATAGTGGAGTGGAGGTCCCTTTCACGCAACCTTATATCTTCCTAAAAAAATAATTATGTTACCGACTAATTTAACAAAAACATTCATTCCTAATTACATTTCTAGTTGTAATACTTATTTTAAAATTGGAAATAAAATAATTGCCTTTTCCCCTAGTGAGAAGGATCTTACCTCGCGAAAAACAAGATATCGTTACTTTTGGAGCATTTCTTGATAGTTATATCATATTTCTAAAGTAGAAACTTTAATTTCTTCTTGCATTTTCTTATTAAGTGCACACGTAGAAAGTTGTACGTGACTTCAGATAAAGAAAGCCTTTTTTTTATCAGGGATAGAGCATATTTTATTGCATGATGATGAATATCCCTTCTACTGGGGAATTGTTCACAAACACCTTACAGTTGTTGTGTTGGCCGCATCTGTATGACGTCTTTTTTTTTTTTTTTTTGTTTTCGACTAATAATGAATAAGAAATTGTGAAGTGAAAACCTGTAAAAATTCTGTGAACCTATTTGTGTACACCTATTTGTGTACACCAAGTAGAATTTCAATTTAGTTTCAATGGTCGGCCACCAAGAAAGAAATGATGGAACTCAAAATAGAAATACTTATTCTTAAAATTAATTGGTTATTGTCATAATCGATTTCTCCCTAACCTTTTGTAAAAAAGTATTTCAGGAAAATTTGAAACAATTATTTTCTCAATTTAAACAATTATTATCTGGGAAAAAAGGCCAAGAAAAGAGAACGGAAGTGTTGTACTAACCAAGATGGGTTAAGTCTTAACCATACACGAGTTTATGACCGTTTGAAAAGATACACACACAGAGACACACATGAACACAGTACTATACAGTCAGAGTAAATGACAAAGTAATTCACCTTACTTTTATAATTTTATTACACAGTTCCTAAAAAACTCACTTGGGACGTTTGAAGCCATTTTTATAACAAAATACATTTTAGAATAGTAACTTAATGAAAAGTGTGCGGTTGAAAAATAAGGAGATTTTTTTTATTTACGTATAATATTATTTTAATAAAAAATGTGTGATTGAAAAGAAAAGAGAGAAAAATACATTCTGAAAAAAATAATAGCAAACGGGCTTAACAAAAAATAAATGTTGTCCTGCTGACATTATTTTGTATAAGAAGCCAAAACCACGTACAATGGCCACACTGCTATGCCCACCGTCACTCTCTTTTCTCTTGTCCAGCAATCTGCACTCCTATCTTTTCCCAATTCTCTCTCTAACTTTTTGAGCTTCAAGCACTCATAATATTTCATCAAAAGCTGGAAATTATAATGGATGCTTTTCTGTTATCTTTGTTGTTTCTCTTCGCCATCACTGGCCATTCGGGTAAGTTTCTTGTTTTCTGGTTTATTATCTTTTCTGCTAGTTTTTGTATTTATTTTGGGGTGTGGTTTTTTGTTATTTTTCCTAAAATCCCTTCATTTTCTCCCTTTGTTACTAAAGATTTGTAAAAGGGTTGATCTTTGTTTTCAAGATTGGGGCTTCTATTAAAGTTTCTTGATGTTTTATCACAGCATGTGTTGAAGTTTCTTGAAAGATATTGATTTTTTGGGTTTGAGCTAATATTTTGCCTTCTCTCCACTCACCCACCCCACCATATTTCTTGCAGAGGCTGCTTATTGCGTTTGCAATGAAGGATTGAGTACTGATGCTTATCAGAAGAATATAGATTACGCCTGTGGAGCTGGAGCAGATTGTAATCCAATAACGCAAAATGGCCCTTGTTATAACCCAAATACTGTCAAAGATCACTGCAACTATGCAGTGAATAGCTATTTCCAGAGGAAGGGACAAAACCCTCAGAGCTGTAGTTTCTCAAACACTGCCACAGTATCTCAATCTGCACCTTCTTGTAAGTCTCTCAATAATCCCTCCAAAAGAATTTTTTTTTTTTTAATCTCAAAATAAGCTAACTTTCATGAGCTTTTACTTATTTATTTATTGTTTTATTTTTATACAGCCTCAAATTCTGGATGTGTGTATCCATCTAGTTCCAGGTACTTCTTCTAACCCTTCAAGGATGTTTTTACTAGATCATCCAAATTATGAAGATGTTTACAGTTTTAGGAAATGGATTGTATGCTGTGGATGATTATGTTTCTTGAAATTGGCAAAAAGGAGAAATAGTTTGAGTTTAATCAGTCTTAGGAATCGACCTTTTTCACATGAAAAGTGAGTAGCTATTAACATAAGTATAAAAAAATAAATTGAAATTTGGTACACAATCATGGCCTAAATCACAAAATTATATATGTGAGCTGTCTTGATGTAGATGTATCAGTAGATGTCTGGTTGGTGTCTTAAGTTTAATTGGTCAAAGGTGAATAAAATCAACCTTTTCTGCTCAAGGCATGTTCACTTATTGTCATCTAGTTAGGTTTTTTACCACTGAACATCATACTCACTCATTTGGCCCAATACTCCATAACGTTATTATAATGTGGCTCTAATGAAAATTATATATATTTTTCTTTACTTTGTGCAGCAACGCCAGCACAAGCCCATCCACTACCCCGCCTACTGGAACCACCCCGAGTACCGGAACCACCCCGACTACCGGAGGACCTCCAACCATGGGAGGCACCCCCACTGGTGGCACCCCCTCCACTATGGTTCCAGGCACTACTACTACAGGATCTCCAGGTTTGGGTCTCGGACCAACTGGAAGTGGCTTCACCAACACAGACAGCAGTGCCGCTAGTGTCACACTGGTTCAAGGATCTACTTTATTTATGTCCATCTCCCTAACCTTCTTCATTTCAGGCTTGATGAACCTAATGGCGTAATAGATTTGAAGGGTGGTCAAGATTTCAAAGCGTTTTAATGTATGGATGATATTTTATTAGTAGGGTTGTCATGGTTAGGCATATTATGGGAATTTCATCTTGGCACGACACCCTCCTTTCTCTTGTGGAAAAGGTATGGGGAATTTGATTCCCTTTTGAGAGGAGATGTGGAGGGCCCGTCAACTCGTCTAGAATTTTCCCATGTATATCTAGATGGAGAGACCATATTTTTTATTTTTAAGTAGATTTTACTAGCCCCTGTCTGGTATGCTGATTTATCAGACTCTCTCTACTTTTGGCAATGGAAAGAAATGGGAGCTTATAAAAGTGCATCTAAAAACCAATTATGAAGAACAAATCTTATTTTGAGCTTGTCACTGTAGATTAAATTGTATAAATCAACTGGATTTCAAAAAATTTGTTCTTAGGTGTATAAAAAAAACCTTTGCACACACCTATCAACGTTGGCCTAACCTGATGCCATTCAGACTCCACTGACTGAATCTGCTGATTGCTGTGGAAGGATAAAATGTATACAATCAAGGCAATATTAGCGGTTATAAGAAAAATAATCACTTGAATATGAATTAATTTAGTTATTAATCACTTGTCAATGGAAACAAATGAATTGTTTACAGTTACAATATTTTTCCAAAATGGTTTAAAACTGCCCACAATGTTCCGAGACCATGCATTTCAAAAAATCGAAAGTTTCTGAAAGGTAAAATAATACATTTAAATGCTTTGCACCACTAAGTTATCACCATTTTTGAGATTAGTCTAGATCTTAACTCAAAAATAGCTTATCTTCCAAATAAATAATCTCTCAGACTCAATTCACTGAAATAAAACTGAGCTTAGCATGTTACAAGTTCCCTAGTCTAGTTTCTCAGACCTCGAGAACCAATTTGCCTTCCAAACAACTGAGGGTGACAAAAGACGTTCCGTTTTCCAGCCTGATGATTGAAGCTGCCACACAAGGAGCAAAAATAAATATCAAATTACAGAACTTAAGAAGAGACTAAATATCGTAAGAGCTGGAGAAGAGATAATATAGTTTATAAACATAATATGCATACACAACGAGCAAAAACCAGGGCATTGGAACATGCACTGCTAAAATTTCCATGACACCTTCTCTCCCAGAAATTCAGCTTAATTTATCAACATGAAAGGACTGAGAGAGCTTAAGACATATGAGTGTGCTAGGCTCGACCACAATATAAACATTAGTAAGTAACAAAAACACAGAAATATCAATTTTTTTTTTTTTGTTCCATATTTATATTCAATCATAATGTCCTATCCAAGTTTATGTCCCATCTCCACTTGCTACCTTCAATCACCACATTCTCCGTCAAAGATTTTACTTCTTTTCTTTTACTCCCTCCCTCCCACCCCTTTTGCATCAAAAAACCACCGCAACATAATCCATTTCATCTATTCATCACCATGGTCATCATAACAAACGCCATCAGTTGCACTCCATTCTCAACATATCCTACACCACTGCTAACAAATCTTTGGATCCATGATCAACACATTGCAAAAACACAAGTGCTACTGAACCACTCTCATCTTCATCTGCACCATTTCATCAAGAAAATGGTTGCCCAACAATGAGTTTCACCTTCCTTATATATTCTCAATGTTTTCATGAAATGAGCATTTTACCCCTCGAGTAATATCTTTCTCCTTAGGGCGCATGATTTATAATGGTAATTGTGAATATGCTTCATGAGTGAAGTTTACAGACATTGCAACCTCAACTAGACTTTGGATGCTCCAACCTCTGAACAGTGTTGCTTAAGAAATCTGAAACATATGAAATGTATATACAAATCCTAAACATCTGAAATGTTTTACGTCAGTGCTTGGCATCTCAGTGTCCAATGACAGATTCAATGGTTATAAAATAAAATACCTCCAGAACAAAGACTTCATAGTATTTAGCCATCCATGATTGGCTCTCCAAATGCACAGAACTGTCTTTGTCAACAAGTTCTGACATTACAAGAGCATGCATGAAAGCCTGTAAGACGTCTGCTGCTGCTGAGTCTTTGTGCATAACAATGCTGATTATTCCCTTTTTCTCAAGTAGTATGTACTTTGCTATGAAGACCAAAAAATAGAATAAGCCAATATCTTTATTTGTATATTTATGCAATTAAAAAAAAGGATTTTAGAAAATAGCAACCTGTATTGTAATAGGAACCAGCCAGGTGAGATAGGTCCAACCTACTTGCATGAATAGAAACTTTGAGTCAATGTTCGTTTCATATGCTGTTTCAATCTGTATTTAAGAAAATAATGCAAGAAGCCCTTCGAGCCATTTTAATTGCAAATGTATTGACAAAATATTTATGTGAAAAGAAGACCAAAAAGGAAATATTATTAGAAGCTAACAAGTAGAACGAACAACCCCAAGATTCCTCGAGGCTTGACATCACATCAATAGGATAAAAGCTGACAACTCACATTTCCTGACAGTTGATCGAAGAAATCTGGATACCTATGCGTATCTGCTGGTACAAAACTTTAACTCTATTTGTGCTCCATGAAGTCATCCACAGCGGTAAAACATGCTCCATGGTTGAGACCTGTTTTGGGGTGAGAACTGGCAAACAGTTCAGAGAATTTTTTGAGGTCAGTGTATTTCAGTGTACAAATATGACAACTGTAACTGGAAGCATACATATGGACCTTTAACTTAAATCGATGTGACAGACAAGAAGTATAGAAAAACTCAATTTATCAAGGGAAAAAACACACAGGTACATGTTTCTAAACAAAAGGCACTCATTTTAACTATTACTAGTTCATGTCTGCAACAAGACGGTGGTTTTCTATAGCCACCTCTTTCAGGAGAAATGAGAAAAGGTGCCATAGTTAAAACTCATAATCTACATGAATGACCTTGAAAAACAATAGAGGACTTCAAATGTGTAGGAGCAAACAAAGAATATGCAGTGTCAAAAGTAATTCTACAAATTCTGCATCTCACCTTGACCAGTCTCCATAAAATGTAACAAAAGAATAGAACTTCTTTCACAATTTAATGTAGTAAGGGAAAGGCAACGAACAGCCTTGTAATTTGCTGCAAAAGTCCAAAGAAATAAAACCCAAAAGAGAGAATAGAATTAGATTCGTTGATGTTTTTAAACTCACCACATGAGAAAGCATATCCCTGTAGTAGGCTTTTGAGCAAGAAAACTATCTAGTGAAACTAACCATACATATGAAATATGGTGAGGGACAGAAAACAAAACCAAATGGCAAGTGAGTGCCCCAGAGTAATGTGAGCAAGGAACATCCCAATAGCCATCCCAAGCATTGTTGCAACTGTCTCTTGGCTTCCTTCCTATCAAATTAGGGAAATAAAAATTATAAAAATCTATAAAATAGAATTTTCATTAGTGCAATTTCTTCTATAACCTATTGATACCTTTGCAGATATATCTGCTGCATTATCCTGTAGGGCAAAATGCTGCGTTAAAGCGGCTCTAGTGGCTCCACTAGCAACACCAGCTAGTTGCAACATGAAAAAGAAAACAAAAAGATATCTTCAGAACTTGGGAGCAAAAAATGGGCAGCTTCCATTTACAAACATGGGTGTTTCAAGGAACTTACTCATTAACTCATGAAGAACATTAGCACAACAAAAATAAATGAAATCCAAAAGTAGGCTATTACTTAGTTAACAGAAAGTTGCATTAGAGATTAATGGAACTCGAATCCTGCCTTATCACTGTGTCTCAGTCACAGTGATTTCAGAACTGCATGGACGTTGCACCAGTTATATGCCAAGAAACAGCACTCAGCAGGAGCATGTTGATGGACAGACTTATTGTGGAAAACTTCAAAAGTAAAATTTGCTTGGAATAAATAAAGATGGAAAGATGTCTTCCACATTCTGCTAATATTTTTGTTGTCTTGCCTCTCATATCCCAACTTACTGCACCTTAGATGCAAATGCTTACTTATAGATTTAAACAACTTAGTTTCAGAAAGAAAGGGTGATTCAACTTCACAAAGTATGATAGTGATACCATATATAAAGGAACTTCACATAGAATGATGCCATAGTATTTGGAACTTACTGAATGATCGTGATAAACTCCCTAAGCAAACGATGAACAGGAATGCTGAAGGGAACAAAGGCGAAACAAGGTCCATTAACATTCCTGCATCCAATTAAATGTTATGGATAAAATCCAAAATTATGAAGAGTACAAAAGGGTACTAAACTAAACTTGCATCAAATTATGTAGAGATAAACTTGATAACAGGAAAGAATATAACAACCAATGAACATTCATGAGAAAATTGGCCAGGGACATAAGTGCTACAAAAATGAAGGGAACTCCAATGCCAAGAAAAATTGGTCGAGGACCCCAAGTGCACACTTATGAAAGGTTGGGGATCCCAGGTGCAATTATCCAGAAAATAACAGAAGTTTCCGTCTTGCTAAGATCGATGAAAAACAACATATATATATATATATATACACTCAAAAAATTCTACGAAAGAAATGTGATTGTAGTGGTACCAATATCATTCATAAGATCAGCAACAAGACGCCACATTTTGGCATTGCTATCCAGGTTTGCCCCCTAAAGAAGGAAGAAATCTTAGTTTTAAAGCTTATAGCTGCTGCATATTGAAAACACAGAGTAGAAAGAAAATAAACAAAGCAATCATCCACTCCCATTTACATGATTAATATTCACAGGAAGTAAAGACCTCATAACAACAGTAGCCACTGAACTCAAATGTAGTTTTCGTCCAGGACCGTAAACTCGCAACACCTCAGATATTTATCATTTCCTCATAGTTACTACTATTGCTGTGTATATGTTACACATCTATTTCCATTGACTTGACTGACCAATATTAAGGAATTCCAAGAATAAAAGAAACTTTTTCCCTGTAATTTGACATTTAGAAAGTAAAAAATCTGAAACAGCAAAATTATGTGTCGAGACTCGAGCTATGAAATAAGTTAGGAGCAATCAGGAAAGCCAGTCTACCTGGTAAAATGTAAATAAGACACCTCCAAGCATTCCAGTTAAATCTCTCAGAAACCACTGAAACAGTTTCAAAATTGTGACGTTTAGGAAGCTTATACTAATCAACACATGAAACTAGAAAGTCACACAAAAGATAGGCTTACCTGAAATGTAGCCCCAATAACAGTAGCAGATTTTTCACCTACTCCAATAGCACTTAAAAGAGCCTGAAATAGAATGCAAACACCCAAATGAGCAATGGATAGCAATACAAAAGGTTAACATGCATGGCTGTGTAGTTAATAACTCACCTGGGTGGAGAGCATTGTTCGCACATATGTTGAAAGGCCCTATATAAAATAAAATCATGAACAGTCTTGTTCAATTTGAGAAAAGATCCGATTTGAAATGTGAAGTATAAAAGTAAATGATAACAAACCTGCAACAAGTCCCATATTTGAAAAGGGATATAATCTGGAGTCACACTGCTCGGAAACCCCTGAATTTTAAGCACAATATCAAAGATAGAGTCATGCTGCTCGCATAATCAGAATTGATAATAGAATGTTATTCTCGCGTCAGTTTTTTTGAAGGGGGAAAAACTACGGTCTTGCCTATTTTTCAGCTGAAGAAGTATAAACATTTTTCCTGACCATTTCAAATTCATAATCATAACATAAAAGAGCAAGCTTATTTAAGTTAAAACATTATAACTCAGATTAAACGATTATCTTTCTAATGTGAACTCAAGTATATGAACATAGGCACGAAATGAGTACGCAAGGTCCCAGCTTGGAAGCAAAAAGTACATCATCTTCAATGTTTTGTGCCTTTCAGTGTATTATTGCCAAACAATGGCTAGATCAAATTGCTTATGGCGTAAAGCAATTATCTGGTCAGGGTACAATCTTTTAACAATTAGGCACTATACATGCGAAGCACAAAGAATATTAGTACTTTATTTCCTGCACGATACCTATACCTGAAATTTTTATTGTATAATTGAGAAGCAATTATCTGTTTTTAAAGCATAAGGTACTCCACATGCACAACCCAAACAACATTAACATTCATGCTTCCTTCATTTTACTTTGACCTGAAATTTAAATTAATTAATTGAGAAATAAGAGAAATTGCCTCGGGAACAAAAGCGTCGAGAAATCGCCGAGAAAAATGGTTGAATCGGCTGGCTGATTTTTTAACGGAATCTCGAGTGATTGTGATGGTGGCGGTTTTTGTGAGCTCCGATAACGCCGTTCCGTTCCACTCCTCGATTACAGTATATTCCGGCGAGAGATGCTTTTTAATGTTTTCTTCTGCCATTTATGTAGATTTTATTTTAGCTCTCTGAAACTGTTATGCAGAAGAGCGTTGACACCAACGTTTTTGTAATTTGCCTTTTGTCTCCCAAATATGTGAGTTAATTGTTCCAATGGTCACTCCATGTTTTTTATTGGTGATTGAAATTTAAAATGTCGAGTTTTAATCACTAAATTTAGATTTAAATTTATGATTGCTCATTAAAATTGAAAATATCGAGTTTTAGTTATTAAATTTTGAAAAATATTGTACATTACTTACTGAATTTTGAAAAATACTTTACATTACTCATTGTAAACTCGATATTTTTCAAAATTCAACAGTTATACTAGTGAGTAACATACGACATATTTCAAAGTTCAGTGATCAAAACTCAACATTTTAAATTTCGTTGAGCAATCTAAAATATGTACCTAAATTTAGTAAGCAATCAAAGATATTGACTTAAGTTCAATAATCAAAACTCGATATTTTAAACTTCAATAACTAATCAAAGAAACAATTAACTCCAAATCTATTTACCCTGTTAAAATCCCATCTAATTGGCAATGTCAAATTTCGATTTTTTAAAAATTAACAATTATATTTTTGAGTCCCTAACAGTTGTAAACTATAGCAATTAAATTCTCATTTAGTTTTGGGAAAATTGTAGCAAAGGTCCCAAACCTTTGAATTTTTTATGGACTTTATCTTAATCTTTAATTTATGTCATCAACAGTCCTAAACTTTTAAAAAATTTGCACCTTGATCAAGAAAAATGTATTTTGACCAAATCTAAAGAGGTCAAAATGGTAAATTCATCATTATTCCATATAAAACAATTAAAATAATTAAAACTAAAAAAAAAATGGAAATGGAATTGTTCATCTTCCTTACATCTCCAACCCCATCCCCAAACCCGCTAAATCAAAACCAAATCAATTTGACCTCATCATCGCCTTCTTTCACAACTACGCCACTCGTTGTCACAACAATGGTACTTTTAAGTTTGATCCAATCAAAGGACCTAAATTCCACTTTGACTTCCAAAGTCATGAATATTATGATATTGACCTTTTGTATGGTAAAAGACAAAGATGCCCTTAAATATTTTGTACAATTACAAAACAATATATTGTTGAAAAGACTATACTACTCTTTTAATTAATAATTGAAAACCAAACACTTCCCCACTTATAAAAACTTTAAAACGAGCTTCCAACACAGGAAAAACTCTCATCTTTTCATCTGCTTAAACATCAAAATCTAGAAAAACTTTGAAACGTTGAAGTCGGAAATTTTTTTCATATTAATTACTTCAAATCGGTAAGTACATTTACGCATGTTTAATTTCGTTTTCAATAAATTACGATACGTTTGAATAGAGAAATTTTATATCGACATAGTAATTAGCATAAATTTTTTTTAATAGATCTTACCTATCAAAAAAATTGAACAGATGTATAACTTTAGAACCGTATTCTCCTGCGCAAAAACAGCCAAACTAGCTATTTTGGCTGTTAACAGCCGAACAGTCAGCTATTAAACAGCCAACAGCCAATTAACCGACTCTGCACTGATTCTTGTTGGCATTTTTCTTATAATTAATAAATGAAGTTGATTAAAACCATTTCCTCATGCAAATATGATAATCTCCATGTGTTATTTCGGTGATTTCGAATTGAATGAAAGTAATCGGTGGGAATGGAGATGGACGAGTGACATACGTGGTTGTATTGCAATTCCCATTACAAAGAGTACACCATACTTAGAAATGTACCACGATTTACAAATAAGCTGAATGTCGATCAATCTCAATACGATATGCAATTGAGATATCTATTCAACGGTTATGGGGATTCATCCATTTCGATGCCCCCGGTATTCGTTACTAATGATGCTGAATTGAATTATCTATTAGAATTGAATAAAATGTATCGGACTCCGACTGTTCTTGGTGTGACTTTAATTACGAAGGATGTTATCAAAGGTGAACGCGAAGATTCAAATAGGGCGGATAACAATGATCAAGGTTTTTGGGAGACAGTGGAGATAGTTCCTGCGGATGATGTGGGTATTCCTAAGACAGTTGCTTCTGATCGTAATGTCGCTGTTACACGCAGAATTCCGTCGACAGTTGAAAACAATGAGAATATAAACGAGTTTACAAATGAGAATTTGATTGCTTTATCCCGACAGAGACACGAGCCGGGTGGGAGCTCAGAGGTTGGAACAAGTGGGCCGTCCTCCAATTCTTCCCGTGTGGCTCCCGATGATGAGGAATTGCAGGTCGAGCAACTGTTTGAAACCAAGAAAGATTTGCAGGAAGCTGTGCACCAACTGGCATTAAAATATAACTTTGAGTTCAAGGTAAAGAAATCAAACAAGTCATTGTTGACAGTTTCTTGCGTCGAAGACAGTTGCAATTGGTGCTTGAGAACAACTAAGATGGACACGAATGAGTGCTTCGTAATTCACAAGTATTCACGAGAATATACTTGCAAAGTGGGAATTCTTCGAAACGATCACAGGCAAGCTCGAGCATGGTTTATTGGTCGACAGATAATGCACAAGTATCAAGATCTATGGACGATCTACAGACCTTCAGACATCATTAACGACGTCCGTCGAGAGTACGGAGTGGTCATGAGCTACCAGAAAGCGTGGAAGGTCAAAAAATGTGCGTTGGAGGATTTAATGGGATCGGTTGAAAAGAGCTATGCTAAATTGGCTAGGTATTGCCATAACATGGGAACAACTAATCCTGGCACGACATTTTTTATTGAGACGGGGGGCGATAATTGTTTTAAGTATTTCTTCATGGCTCTTGGACAATGTATTCGGGGTTTTTGAAATGCAATGCGACTCGTAATTCTAGTTGATGGTACAACTCTGAAAGCTAAATATCAAGACAAATTAATTATTGCTACATGTCAAGATGCCAACATTCAAATTTACCCTATTGCATTCGGCATAGTCGACAGGGAGAATGATCTGTCCATGCGTTGGTTCTTTTCTAAATTGAGGGAAGTGATCGAGGAAGTCGAAGACCTTGCCTTTGTAATCGATCGGGGACAGTCTATAATAAACGGTATTACTGAAGTTTTTCCCGGGGCACATCACGGGTATTGCATGTACCATATACAAGGTAATTTGAAGACTAGGTATCGAGGCACAGGCATCGTTTCATTGTTTAGGAGAGCAGCTGAAGCTTACAGTGTTGAAGAGTGTAATAAGTTCATGCTCGAGATAGGAAGTAAATCATTATCGGCGTTGGAGTATCTGACGAAGATGGGGATCGAACATTGGGCGCGATCATACTTTCCAGGACGTCGATACAACATGATGACGTCGAATAACGCGGAGTCTCTCAATGCATTATTTAAGAAGGATCGAGAGTTACCAATTCTCACAATGATTGAGAACATTCGTAACAAGTTACAACAGTGGTTTCATGACCGACGTGCGGCATTATAGAGTTGCACTAGCGTGTTGGCCCCAACTCAAGAGGAGAAACTGTTTAAGGTGGCAGATGTTGCGAGGAAGTTGAATGTGGAAGCACTAGATGAGTTTCGCTTCTCCGTGCAATTTGCACGTAATACGGCATAAATGGTGGATTTGACTGATAACACATGCACTTGTACGAGATTTTAGTTTGAAAGTTTTCCATGTGAGCATGCAGTTGCGGTGGCCATGTATCGAGACTTTGCTGCGAGAACGTTATGCTCTTTGTATTATATGACTGAGTCTTGGAGAACAGCATATGCCGAGACTATATTTCCTCTACCGAATGAAGTCGAGTGAGAAGTTCCCGAGCACATTCTCCCATTTCATAATTTGTTATCACCAGCAGTTGAATCGCATGGTCCTAGATGTCCAAGTACATCTAGAATATCATCTATCGGAGAGTTTTCTCGACCGCGTAGGTGTGGCCGGTGTAGAGTCATAGGGCATACTCGACAATTTTGTACTAGTCAAATTCCCCTAAATGATGACTAGACAGGTACGTGAAATGAATAATATTTCCTTTTACTTTACATTGTTCAATATTTGTTATTTATAAATCTTCCATATTCAATATTTATTCTTAATAAATGGTATTTATAATGATTCATATGAAAAAAATAGTTCCATACTCGGTATACGTGTAAAATAACAAAAAATAATTAAATTTCCAATTTGAATGTTATATACATTGAACACAAATTTTCAATTATTTCATAATTACAAAAATAATTAAATTTACAATTGAAATGTTACATATATATAAATGAAATTTACGGGTCAACATTAAATTCGAACAAATCACATGCTAGCTTCTTTCTCCAGTTCTGTATCCACGACTGGTTATTCCATCAACCTTATGTCCTATACTTAAAAATTTAACGTACTTAATGGCAAATATGCCGCAGTCGCCGCTGCAATTGAACAAGAATAAATCAGTTCAGTACTGTGTAAATAAAAACTAAATCTGAAAGATGAAAACAACAAAGTTCAAACACTTACCTTACAGACTGTCGCGCTGTCATCGTGTTCCGAACGATCCGCAATCTGTCCTGTACATTTATCCCCGCTCGTGTGGCCATCATAGGAACAACTACAGCCACAGACTCTAGATTTTGCTCCAACTGGCCTTGTGTCAAACATGAATGATCTGGGTCGTACACATATATAGTCGAGTCAGCAAAAACGATCTCCAGCGTAACATAGTGTTTATTGATGTACGCTGAAATGTACATATGTGTACAACCCTCCCATGATTTTCCCCCGACACTCGGTGACAATCCTATCACCCACTCGAGCATATATTCTGGCACCGTGTACTCATTACCCATAAGTTCGAGCGACTGATACTCTATGGTAACGGCACGTAGAAACTCGGTGTTTAATATGATTCGACCATGGATATCAAATGATTTTGGATGTCTTTGAGCTCGATCTCGCAGCATGTCCATGGCCAGGTCGATGTGCTGCAGCAGGAAACACTAAAAAAGTATGAGTTATTCATTTAATAAACACAAGGTCACATATACATAAAAAACACGAAATGAATAGTTCACTTATATCGTCAGCGAGCCAAGCTCCCGCAG